AACCCCCCCCAAAAAAAAAAAACAAAAAAAGCCCCCCCCCCCCCCCACTCCAAAAAAATAATAATAGTAAAATAAAACAAAAAATATAACACACCCCACCAACAAACCCAAAAAAAAAAAAAAAATCAAACTAAAAGCCATCATGCAAAATCAGTAAATACAAATCTCTGGGTAAACATTTAGAAGTACAAATAGAACTTAGTTTAGATCTCAGACAAGCAGCCCAATCAGTAGCTTTATTCCCATCTCTTTTAATATGAGACCAAATAATATTCATACTCATAGACAAATAAAAAATTCTTAAACCATCTTTTCCTTGCAAAAATTCCACAAAGTCAAAGAATCCACTTCTATACACATATTTCCAACCAAAACGCTAAGCCAATAGCAGACCAAAAACCACCGTATTTGCTTCAACACAGAAAGGAGAAACAACCACAGAAGAAGCCACAAACTAACAAATCATAGCATTGAAACAGTCCCTGCAAATGCCACCTACTCCAGCCAAATTAGAATTCCAACTTCCATCAGCATTTATTTTAATAAAAGGAGTTGTCGGCTCACACCACTTCACCATCTTAACAACAACATACAATAAAATAGGAGTAGGTAAAGAGAGCTTCACAAAAATATCCAATAATCTTTTACCCAACATATTATTATCGTTATGTAGCTTTAAACTTTTATAACAGAAGTTAATTATCATTAAAAATGTAGCATATATACTAGGAATCAATTTCGCAAGCTTCGCATTGTTCTTGTAAATCCAAATAAACCAAACAACCATAATAGGAATATTAGCTAAGAAGCATGCCCCTACTTCTTCCAATCCTCTAAAACATCCTTAATTGAATCAAGACCAAATTCATTATCATTCCTACCAAATAAACCTTAAACCTGTTGTTGACCTCACTTTTGATTGATGTTTAGTTTTTCTTCTTTAGTAGCCTAAGGTCTAGCCATAGGATTTTCCTATTGATTATTCTTAGAAAACTAGACATGGAACCCTCACCACTAGAAATTCTACCATCTTCTTTACTCAACTTGGAGTTCCAAATATTGGTCCTAACCTAACCTCTAAGTCCTAACCTCTAAGTACTTAGTAGGTGGGGTCATTATGAGGGAAACTCAAGATGAGTCACCCTTAGGACTGCTGGATCTTAGGGTTGACCCTGGCTGTTGGTCTAAAGCTAAGACACTCACTTACACTCACAATCACTCACAACCCTAAACTCAAAATTCTAGCTTAGGTCCCTTGATCTTTTTGGGATACTCATGTAGATGGTCCCCTAAACCTACCAGCCCTAGGGCTATGGTTTAACTAAGACCAATACATAGAGGACCCAAAATGGAATTTCCTTTGGTCCATGGCTCATTTAGGGTGATTAGTTACCCAATCCTATAAAAAATACTCATCTTGGCCTTTTGCCCCTAAACACCCCCAAATTACCTAAACACTCTTGAAACCCTAAACTTTGCCAAAATTCCCAAGTTTGCCCAAAATACCCAAATTTGATCAAAAATTCATTTCAAACCTTTTGAAGACCTCCAAACACCCAAGTTACCCAAAATCTCCAAAAATGACCAAATTACCAAAATACCCCTCCATAGCCCGAAATTCCAAAAATTCCCAAAAAATCTCAATAAATCCAAAATATTCCCAATTTCATTTTCTTTAGCTACCATATGACCCAATCTAACCAATTTGACCATCTTTAACCAAAACCCCCAAATTTACCTTTAAGGGCCCAAATTTCCCCAAATTCAACTCAATTTTCCATGAATTTGATCTAAATTGACCCCAATTCCAATCCTAAACTCAAATTAACTTTTGATATGACCAATTTAGACCAAATCCTAGCTCAATTGGACCATGATTTGAGCTTAATTTTGATTTAGATCAAAACCCCAATTTTGACCATATGACCTAATCTCACCAAATTGAACCATATCCTAGTCAATTGGCCCCAATTAATGTTGCAAAATCTTTATAACATTCCTACACATTAAAATCAACCATTAATTGGCCTTGGTGAAGCCTCAAATCCATTTAATTTTGGCCTAAATCCAAAATTCACCCAATTGATTGCCTTAACCCCCAAATTGGAATCCAATTAATGTTGAAAACTCTTCATGGGGTCCCTATTGACCATTTACAACAATTAATTTGGACTTAGCCCAAGGCTAATTCAAGCTAGACCCAAGCCTAGCCCAACATGACCAAATTGACTAAAATTCAAAATTCCCTCAAATTGACCCTTCAATTGAACTCAAAACTACTTCAATTCTTCACCAAAGTTGTTCCTTTTAATCATCTACACCAAATGCAACATTTATTTGCGCCAATTGACATGTCCAGCCTAGACCAAACCCAATACTTGGTCATTTGCACCAACTTGGACCCAT